TACTTTTAATACTTCACTCCATTGGTCGTGACCAAGTCACATGCAACCTCCACTGCAAGGAAGTCAAGAAAGTGAGTTTTTAGTTCTCTGGCCGGACAGCAAGAGAAGGCAATCAATCTATAAGAGCTTTGGAATGGGTTCTAAGTGAGCCTAGTTATGCAATATGTCACAAGTGAAATATACAACTGGCAATGATTCAAAGGCACAAAGAGGCAGTGTATTTTCATTTTTTTAAAAAAAAGACTGAGTTCAAACCTCCAGACCCACTCTACTAAGGTGTGTGACCTAACCCAAGTTCTTAAACCCTGAGCTAAGTCTTTCATCTTTAAAGATACTAATATACACCCCCAAGGAGATAACATACAAGACGCTGTGCACATAACAGGTGCTTAAGAAATATGACTTACTGTGAGCGGCCATCGTTTACAATGCCCACATCTGTCCATATAAATTTTTAGCTTGATAATTAATTATCACATTTCTGATTACTACTTACCAGATTGATCTTTCTCTTATTATGACCAGAAATACATAGATATGCCCTACCAACAGCCAGAAATTTTTGCTGAATCCGTAATTAAAGTACTTCTATTTTTGCACCAGTTAAGCAACTGTTTTGTATCTACACTGTGCACATGTCTAGAGAAAGCTATTATTACCAAAAATGCACTCAATATTGGTAGACGAGAGTCCAGACTCTTGTTTACATTCATTATTTTTCCACTTGATATTAATTGTGACTTGAAAACGGAGTTGGTGAAGTTCTGAAGTACTCGTATGTGACAGCACAGGAAGAGAAAGCCAACCCTGCTCTCTGAATTTTTACTCTAGTGGTTACTGCTTTGAGTTCTGGAGGCTACACATGTCACCAGTCAGAAAGGACATGCTGGTTTCCTTCATGTTTCTATTTCTTTGTTAATTAAAGCACAACTAGAAACGAGCTGCCTAGGTTGCTTAATGTATTAAGAGTCTTCGAGTCCAGAGAACTAGAAACCTATTTTGGCTCTGTGCTTCCCTGATGTAGAATGTTACCTGAGCCCAGTGCTCTTAGGTTTTGTCATTAGTCTAATGCATTTGTTGACTCTGTATGATTTTTCTGCCACAAAAAGATTACTTGAAGACTCCAATGGTGTCTTTAAGGATGAGAGATTATGTTCAAATCTTTTGAATCGAATTTCCTAGAAACTAGACACATATTCATAAAACTCACTCAAAGTCTTCTTGCTTTATCCGTAAACACAAATGCAAATTGGCAGATTACAGAGATAGCATTTAACATAAATACTGGTATAAATATTTTGAGACAGCAAGCTGTTAGTTAGCTGTTGATTCTGGATTGTCACTATCTCCTGGGGAACAACACTGACAGTTTAACAGGAAATACAACACAGAGAGAGAGGAACTGTGAATTTTTAAGAACTAAGACTTTCTCATAGTTCTACTGGAAGTTGTTCACATAAAAATAGCAGCAATAGGCAACAACCAGTTAGCTTTTGATATGGGGCATTAAGTGTACGGATGTGTGGATTTCAGAATAACCAAGAAAACCAAGCATACAGCCCAGTCCCCAATATGGCGGAAGTACCTGGGATCTTGAAAAGACTGGAGGCTGATCTCATAAATGTGCTATTTCATCAGCACTACCCAGATCATAAAAAAGGTGATAATGGGGGCCGGCCGAGTAGCGCGATGGTTAAGAACTGGCTTGGGATGCCAGAGGACCCCAGTTCGGATCCCACATATGAGGGCCAGTGACACTGCCCTCTACAGCTAAGATGCTGAACAACAGCTCAACCTGGAGCTGGGCTGCTGTGAGTCGCCGGTGATGGCGTAGGCTGCAGCCCCTGCTGCAGTGGGTTGCCATGGGCTACCGTGTGTAGCCAGCAGCCAGCGTGAGCGGCCAGCAGCCACAGTGAGTGGCCGTCCAGAAGCCGGCGACTGATCCGCCTCGCCCTGGAAGAGCGCAGTGATGGTGCCAACTTGGGCAAGTGAAGCAACGTCCTCCACAACTAGACTGAAGAACAAAACGACAGCAACTTGTCTGTTCCCCTTCCCCAATCCCCCAGCACTGTTCCCATCCCCCCAATTCCCCAATAAAAATCTTTAAAAAAAAAAAAGGTGATAATGGAATTTAGTGGATGGTGCCTTCTCCAATTTAGTATTTTGGCAATCATGTCAATGAACCCAAGAACTCTTAAATATAATATTAAAATTGGGATAATGGTCATAATAATGATAAATCCATTAGCAATTCTTCTCCAAAACTTTGAAAGACCAATTTAATGATTTCTGAACATGTAGCCACATATGAGAAAATCTTTTCTATAAATGGGAATGCAAAGCAAGCTTTATGCTTCAGGAGGGTCTAAGATATTTCAATAATCGTTTGGCGTTATACATATTTTTTAAATCTCCCGATAAACTTAGAATACTTTAACTCTAGATTAAGGGTTTTAAATACATAATTATAATGTGTAGAAAATAATCTTGATTTACATGCACTATCACATCCGTCTTGGTCATGGTAAATGATAATTTTATACCATATACGTTACTGTGACTCCCTTTTGCCATAGATTAGTCTCATTTAAATTTTCCTAGTGCCTTTATGGAGTTCAAAGTGCTTTGAGTTTTGCAGTAAATACATATATAGATTTTGTGCCTTTCAAATATATTTATTACCATATTAAGCAAATGATCTCAGATTTAAAGGGAGATGGAAAATTTTCTAGTCATCAAATGCAGAAATCCTTTCTACACAAGTCCTGACATTCTGCCCCACGTATCTCTTCCATCTGGTTGTTCTTGAGTTGCATCCTTTAACAATAAACTGGTAACCTAGTAAATAAACTGTTTTTCTGCATTCTCCAGCCTTTCTAGCAAAAAAACTGAACCTGAGGTGGAGGTCCTGGGAATCTCTGATTTGTAGCCACATTGAATAGAAGCTGTCGGTAACCTGGGGAGCCAACACTTGTGACTGGTATCTGAGGGTGAGTGTGTCAGGGGACAGTCTTGGGGACTGGGTCCTTAACGTAATGTTAACTCCAGGTAGATAGTGTCAGAACTGGGTTAAATCGTAGGACACTTAGCCAGCGTCTGAAAAGTACTTGGTGTGGAAAACCCACACTTCTGATGACCACAAGTACTGGGCATAGAGTGCTGAGTAGACAGAAAACAGGCAAGTGTTTTTCCTTTTCAATACAGTAATTTCCATGCCGTATAATCTACTCAATTCATCTAATACAGCAAAAACTTGATAACAAGACCCATCAATTATAATACAAGGAAGAAAATAACTAACCACATCTACAAAAGTGGATATAAGTATCCTATACAAAACATGGATATAATTTAGTAATAAATCAAAAGAATACTCAATAATGGCCCAATAATCTGTACCCTTAGCACATAATGATGGGTTAACATTAATATATCTATTAATAAAAATACAATAAGTATTTTTAATATTGATAAGTCAACAAGAAAAAAACATCATAAGGAAAAGCATTTGTTATATTCAACTTCTATCGTTTTAAAAACTCTAAGAGTGATAGAAATGTAAGAATAAGTCTATAACATGATCAAGACTACCAGGCTAAACCAAACTGTCAGCGCTGATCCGCTAGACTCTCTAGTGACTAGACATAGTCTCAGTAAAATCAGGAAGAATACAAGGCTTCATGGAAATACCTGTTGAATACAAGATATAGGCCATTCTATTATAAAACCACCCTTGTACCTGTTTGTCTCTTTGAGGTCCTTCTCCTATTCAGGGATGGGATGGGTGTGAAGCAAGTGAGGCCGCTAACATGTAACATGTAAAATGGGAAAGTGCAGGGTTGGTGCTTACATGCCTTTGACAGTGAGGATGCCTCCTTCATTTTTGTGCCTTCAGAGCCTCGCTTGCCTCACGCTAGTCCCAGCTCTGTTCACATCCCCTGTTCACTACTCTTTCCTCCTGACAAGCTCAAGTCTGATGTTTGCTGAGAGCCAGCTCATCTCTAGACTTTGGGTATCTGAGGAAAAATGGAATAGCTGTCCTAAGACCCACATGTTCCTGAGTTTTCTAGATTCTCCAAAGGCCAAACCCTTTTCACACACACAACAAATGTGAAATAGTTAAAAGTTGGGAAATTCGCTTTTAGATATTTCTTAGGATATACATAATTTTAGGGTCTCAGGCAAAACCTTTATTTTAACAACTTATTGTCGATTGTTTGTTCTCTTTAGTTCAAAGAATTTTAGGAGTAAAATAAGATAAAGTATCGGGAAAAACTGAAAGAAACTACAATATAAATGCCAGCTATTATTTGCTACATTTCCTTGTTATCGAAATATATGATAGGCATATGGTCACTTACATATTATTAGAATGGGGCACATTACAATAGAAAAAAACAACAACTAACTATCTTTGCAGTAACATAAAAACTTAATACATAGAGCTTTGGTAAAGCTGACTGAATATTGTTGTCATAACTGTAATTTGCATAAATTTACAGGAGACATCATCCTATGGCCTAAATCCAAGTGCTATCTTTCTATGTATTCAAGGAAATAAAAGCTGACAGTAAAGCAGTCCATTTTATTACATTCCATGATATTTTATTCTTCTTTGAGAGGCAAGTTTTTGCTATTGAACGTGTTCCTCAAAATACATCTGAGGTATGTCATACTTAAGCCTTCATATCTAATGGCATCCTTTTACAGGTAAATTCATCTTCAAAATGAAATAATTTTACTGAAGCTAAACTATTTTGCATAGGACCAAGGCATAATATATTGTAATTTAATTTACAGTCAAGACTACAAGATATTTAAACATAAAACAATGATAAATTTTTAAGTTAAATTGAGTCATATATCTTTGTCTTTTCAATATATTTCTGCCTAAAATATCACTGAATTTCAGAAATCATTTCTAAGTATGGTAACAATAAATATCTACTGAGTACCCTTTCTAGAATTTTCACTAGTAGACTTGTGATTAGACCACTCACCTAATTGTATCATTGGTCTCTGAAACAGCTCTCAGGTAGGCCTTCAAATAAAAATAATTAAAGCAGTATTTCCGAATCCTATAGCCTCTCCATTGCTTCTGAATCTATTGAAGTAAATACAAAGATAAAATATGCTGGTGAACATTTTTAGTAAAAACATTAATAGTTCTTCAAAATCAAGGCAATGGCAGATGATAACTATACTGAATAAAGTCTTAGGCTTTTCCACTCATCTAACAATATATATAGTTGTAAATGTAGGTTGTACTCATAGAGTTATTATAAAATATTATAAAAACAAAAACATACTTATAGGTTATAATTTATTTTTAACCATGTATAATTGTTTCACAAATACTAAATGTGAAATTAACTACTGAAAGATTAAAATTTTGGTTTACCAGTTCCTACCATTTCCATTTCCTGACCATTTTTGTTTTGTTTTGTTTTGTTTTTCATAACCATCTGGTTTGAAGACTGTATTTGATCTCACAGAAATCCATTTTTTTAAGTGGGCATTTAAAATTCAGTGGTATCAAAACCTTTCAACAAAATGTCTTGTATCTTCATGACATTTTAATATTTCTTTAAAATAACAATAGCTAACATTTATTCAGTTCTCACTATGTGAGAGGCACTAGTCTAAGGGTTTGCTTGTGTGTAGTCATTTAATATTTACCATGAGATAAGTAACACTCATCAATTTACTTACAGATTAGAAAACTGCTAAAAAGAGCAGTTACAGAATTTTCCCATAATTTTACAGCTACTAGTGATGGATCCAAAAATCGAATTAGAACTTCAGACAGCTCATTCTCCAAACTGTTGTGATACAGAGTGGAAACAATGAACTACAATGTCCAGTGAATGAACATTTCTGCTGAAAGTATCTGGTTTTTTTTTTTTTTAGATGAGAGGTGTCTTGAGGGTCTAAGAGAACATACTAAAATGGACTACTGTGCACCTTATAATGCCCTAGTAATCATGAGAATCAATCTCCTTAGGCTCTGTCTTTGCCAATGCCAGCTCTGTTAAAGAAACTCAAAACAAAAATAATAATGTACAGGTCTTAATTTTGTGGAAAACAAATAAACAAAATAGTTCAACTTCTTTAAAGGAGTAGAGAAAGAAGAAATAGAAAAAATTAACTTAGTCTTGCATAAAGATTTAACTTCATTCCCTAAAATTTTCCATCAGCTTACATACATATACTTATGAATTATTCTCATATTATGAATAATTCACTTTTTGGATATGAAGTCCTTCTGATGTTTTTGACAGCTAGGCTAGAAACACACATCTCCTCTAAATACTTTTTTCAATAGGAAAAGGTAATTAATATAGAACCTATCCCTTAGTCCATTGTGTTTAAGCCCCCAAACTTATGCTTTTTAAACTAAATATGTTGAATTTACAATTTATATATTGGGTTGTCAGAAAAGTCATAACATATTTTTGCAATGAAAAACATAGAAAAAAATACATCATGAATTTTCCGACAACCCAATAATTTGAATGCTAGATCTATAAGAAAAAACAGGAAACAATATTTTCCTCAAATTCTGATCCTTTTATTTTCTTTTTAAATTATGGCCATTGAAAAGGTATTTTACAATCTGAGATAGTAAATGTAAAAATTTTAAAGAAGTGTTTTAGTATGAAAAATAATTGAAGATATGTAAAACAGCTTGCAAGAACAATTAAATAAAAAATCAATGATTCTAGAAAGTAAAACTAACTACACTAACAAGCTAATGTAACAACATTGTGGCATGTTTTTCCAAATATTTTTCAAGTAATCTAATTTTAGAAATTAATTCTTTAAATAAAAATTAATTTTTCTAAAATTACATAATCAATTTAGAAACTCTCCCCCTTTAATTTAACCAAAATCATATTACAACTAATAAAGAGAGGGATTAATACAAACCACTTTCCTAATGAAAAAGAATAATCAATTGGAATATGTATACATATATAAATTATACATGCAAATAAGTGAATATTTTCCCAATTTACCTAATTTAATCATTACAGTAGCAGTCTGAAGTAGAGATATTATTAGCCTCATTTGATAGAAGAGGAAATTGATACTTAGAGATGTTAAAGAATTGCCTAAGGCTTTATAGTTGGTTAGATGCTTTCAAATGTTTCACGAATTGTTACTGCATGTACAGTACCAATTGTATTAAAGAAGAGAATGCTTGTAAATAAAAGGACAGACAGAAAATCCATCATCAGCAACAGAAATGACTCAGGAAGCTTGGGAAAATATTAGGATATCAGATAGTGTTAAGGGAGGGACTACCTAAGACACGGAAATATCATTAAATTCTAAATAAAATACAATTAAATGTGCCAGAAAACATAAAAGATGCATGCTGGAGTCCTGAGAAGGAAAGAGGGCCAGTGGTGATTTATGATTCGATCATTCCAGATTAAAGTCAGAAAGGACAAAAACTGATACTGGCTGAAAAACCTGTACCAGTAGGAAGAGCACTGAAAGCAGCCAATGGCATGGGGTCCTTCCTGCTCCAAAACGGGCAACTTGAGAAAGGGCACCACAACCCCCAGAGCATGCGACGTTGGGGTGAGCTCTCTGGGGATCTTCTCGTCATGCTCCATCTGCTTACACTTCTACCCAAAGGCAAGATAAGATGCCTTTCCTGGACAAATCCTTCTATTCACTATTGGGTGTTGAAGTGCCTAATAGGTCAGGTTAACAAATTAAAACTCATCCACATTAAAGTATAATCAATCAGCCTTTAAGTGGCTTAGTCAGAGGTGTGTGAGTAAAACGAGCAGGAAGAAAACGGGCATTTGAGTGGGTGAAGAGGCTGCCATCGAGTGAAGTGAAGGGTAAAAATCGAGTTGAGCTCCTTGAATGTGCCAGGCATTACCCGCTAACTGCTGTAATTCTCATGATAACCTTGTGAATGGGGCATGAACTCAACGTTAAAGATGAAGAAACTGAGGTTAAGTAACTTGATCACGGTCACAAAACCAGTAACAAAGTAAATGCAGCCTGGCTACAAACCCAGCTCTGGTTTACTCCAAAGCCTGAACGTCTTGAACTTTCCCTACATTTCCTAGTGATATCCCAGTACTAGTGAATAAACATTTAACTTAAAAAAAGAAGTACTTTTAAGAGGCAAGATGACTTTTGGTAAAAATATTTCTTCTTCATTTCAAGATGAATAGCTATGACTTCCAAAAAAAAACAACATAAAAAAAAACAAAACTAGTATTCATGTCCTTCAAAGTCATTAGCAACTTTCAGAAGTGATTGGTATAAAACAATTATTGTCATTGATCAGCTCTGAATAGATAATTTTAGACAAAGTCATTGTGTGCTCAGCAAATTACAGCTTGTTAACTGGCAACTTCCAAATGACCTCTTAAGCTAGTCAAATCAATGATGCATATTCCTCATTAAGTAACATCAAAAATGTAAGCGGTCTTATAAATAATGTTTATTTTAAGCACTAAAGCAAATGGCAAAACCTTGACATATCAAAAGTCATCCGCTCATAGAAAAAGATCTTCCCTCTCTTGGGTTTACTTTTATTCCTCAAAATTCATAGTAACCTTAATGTCATCAAAAGAGAGAAAAAAAATAATGTGTTCTCACCTAAAATTAAAATGAAGACATGGACAACAAATTCACTGATAATAGCCTACCTTGTATTAATGCTCTAAATGTATATGAGAGCATACAAGCAGAACTCTTATTCATAATGATGGCTTTACTTAATAGAATGTTCAACATTCTAGAAGACTATATATACAGTGAGCACAGAAAGTGAGTCGACTAAATTTTCAAAGATAAGGTGTTTTAAAAAATAGTAACATCCAAGTTTTCATTTTAGGTGTCACTGCACTATCATGTCAAAAACATATACACAAATGGAAATCTTAACTAGATGTTTTTAGCTAGCCAAAGATTCTGGGTAATTATCCCATATACAGTTTCTTTCCTTTAATATTCTGCTTCCCCGCTCTACCTGGCCTCAAACCTCCTTTTCCTAATTGGTTTAAATCATTGCATAATGATTTGGTACTAGAAAGGAGGGAAGGAGAAATATTATTTTTCATGGTGATGGGACATTTAAATAGTTGTCCATCATCAGGCAAAAACATGGGGTTGTCTAGATGGGCCCATCTCCTCTTATTCCTTAGGCTGATATTTTGGGATATCTTTTTCCAAGTGAATGAGACTGTGTCTTAATCATTTTACATGCCTAGAACCTAATGTAATGTTTAGTATATGAGATCGACAGTATTTTTTTCATGTATTATTTTACCTTTTTATCTTTATCTATCTAATCTTGGAGTCATTTTTCTAAATATAAATCCTTCATAGTATTGTAAATATAAAAATAGAATTATAAATAGTGTAGGAGACTAAGATGAATCTTTATATATCTGACATATATTTACATTTTTAATTAAAGCCACCGTAGAATTTTTTTCTATTTTTTTTTTATATTTTAGACACAGTGGGAAACAAAAGAAAATGGTTAATTGATGTTTCAAGTTGAATTAATTTTCGTAAATTAAAATTTTTATTAGGTAGATCCAAAGCTCCAAGAGGGAAGAGCCAATAAAGTTTTAATTATTTTGCAAATTGGTTGTTTTAGGTAATCTTTAGTCTACTGATGGTCTTGTTATTCTAGTTTTTATTCTTCTTAAAGTGAGGATTTCTACCTAAACTAAAGTGCTTTGAGGAACTAATTTCAAGCTAAATCATTTAAAATAATAAAGGATCTGTTGAGCCTTTCCATGGTCCAGCAGACTATAACTAAGTAAATATAAGTCATTGATCAATAACCTGTGAAAAGTCTGCAGGGTAAAAGGAATTCTACCTGTAACAATCAATTGCATCTGTACTTCTTCAGAACTCTGTAAGCTTTACATTACTAACCATTTTTAATCCTCAGAGATCCTTGAAACTGAGAGGAAAAAGTCTGATGGAATATACTTTTTAAGAGAGATCTCTAATACACTACACATTAGCTCTTCTTAAAACCTGTGTTCATATGCTACTGCTCCATGTGTTCTAGTCTTCCAAATGAGGACTCAAGATGTTCACGATGTCCCAATGGAGGCTTGCCAAAGGCATTATAAGGAATAAAAAAATTGCAGTTTATCTTGGTTAACTTCCAAAGTCAGTGACACATTATATACCCTCATTAGTTCTGAGTTAATGCATAAAGAGAGAGATCAGCAGTTGAAATAGCAGACCTAGTAATGATTTTGTGGGGCTCCTAATGTTTTAACAAAGTTAGAGTCCCCTTTTCTTTTCCTTTAATGTGTCAGAGTCCAACACAGGCAAAGTGGAGGTGCAAATATACCAAATACAGATTTGGGGTTCACAAAAATCTGTGTGATCTGCACCTTGGACTCCAAACAGGAAAGAAATGAAGATAATTTTTTATTGTTTGCTACATCCTATACGAAAATCCACTTAAAATCGCAGCAAGAAGGGTGTTTCATCTGGGGCTATGAGGAATGACAAATCCTGATGCTAGCGGTAGCACTATGTGAAGGCCACAGCTTGAATACTCCTTTATAGGGTGAGGTTTGTCATCCTAAGCCATCCACTTCTGTCTACAAGGGGAAGTGTGTGACACTGAATTGAGATGCCTTAACTTAGTGTTCTACTAATTACCACTAAATTTCAAACTCCCTGAGTGAAATGCACTACCAGTAAGGACGCTCATAAATTGTAAGGGCCATGCAGTCGGTTTATCAAGAAAACCAGAGGATAAGTAATAAAATTTCCCTAATTATTCATATAGTTGTTCTCATCCTGATTTGGAGACAAGGAGAGGATGATAGTAAAAGCAAGACTACAAGTGACCAGAAATAATAGGAATGGGGGTGCTGGACCTCTGGGTTTAATTCCTAACACTGTCACTTACTACTTTGAGACAAAAGAAATATTTTTGTTCTGCTGAATCCCAAAATTTGTGCAAGCCAGACTCATAATCACTAAATTCAGCTTTCTATTAGGAAAATAACACATAAAAAATGAACAGAGAAATGATAGAAATAAAACTTCTAAGCTGGAAACCGACTTTATTACTGTTAAATCATATGAATAATTTCTAATTGATTTGTATTGGGCAGGAATCTTATATTCCAGGACCACGTTCATCTATTTATCACAATATTCTATATGACATATGGAAACTAATAACATTGCTTCATTAATATGTAGTCTTTCTCCAGTACCAGCTCAGAGATATTTAACATTCTAAAACATGAGCACTGATAATTACATGTTTTACATTTTACTCTAATTTTTAATACTGCCAAGATTATTTAGTATAGCTAACTTTTTAACTATGTACTCTTTTCTCTCTTTACCATTAGCATATCAATCAAATTTGCATTATTCTGGTTTGCTCGTTTTATTAAAAGGGAATTCAAGGCACAATTGACTTTTCATTTGTTTAACAAGTGAAGAAATATTTACCCTGACAGCCATTGCATTGTAGATATTCATCTTCATAGTATAATATGCTAACTGTGAATCAAGAGAAAAAAAAGATGGCATATATTTCAGTTACACAAAGACAGTGCAGCCTATTTTTACATATAAAAGATAAGAATCTTTATACATAATACATAATAAGAGTTCTAGGCTTAGAAAAATGAAATCAAACTTTGTATTGAAGAGATAGGCTTCCTAATACATAATGCAGCCTTAACCAGAAAAATCTATGGTAGTCAAACTAGGAGCTAATGGAGATATATGATCATAAAATGCTCTCCGCTGAGTTTGATAATCAATGGTGCTCTACTGAGAATAGAATAACAAAGCAGAAATATTCACAAGTGCTGGTGACATGTAGTATTGTATGATTTATTCACTGGGGTTCTTTTAGCCAAAACTCACAGAAACATAAAAGGAATTCATATTTCAAGACGTCTGGTTTAATGAAAAATTCAAAGAAATGCTGTCTTCAGTCGAAATCGTTCAAGGATATGGATGCAGTGATGGAGCAAAATTGTGCCTTCCAACCATCTGTACAAAATGTTATGTACTTAGCTGCCTCCTGAGTAATCCTTGGGAATTTTGTTTCATTTAACATTCATTTTTAACACCATAAAATCATAAATACAATGATATCATGTTACAGCAAATCCCCTGATATAGTGAAGACTTCCTAAAGTCTTGGTTTCTCTCTAGTAGAGACATATTTGCCTATTAATATTTCTATGTCCCTGTTACAGCAAATAATCATTTAGCAACATAGCTTATTTCAATGAAAATGTTGCTTTAAATAAAGCTTCTACATCTGTTCTATCTTTTAATTAAAATATAAAATTAACATAATTCATGACAGGACAATACACACTAAAGCAATGAAATACTTTTTTTTCAGCACAAAATACTTTATCTATTCTTATGCAATCAAAATTCATTCGACTAATACATAATAGGTAATAGGTGTTACATTGTAGGCAAAAATCAGAGATAAGCTCCTTAACGTTTATATAGGGGTTTTCTTCCCCACAAGAAGCGGGTTTTCATACGAAAGGATTTGACGGTAATTAGTATTGTTTGCATTGCCTGGTCTGATCCAAAGCAAATTGTCTGTGCAGAGCAGCAGGACTGGATTATTTATCAACAGTCTGAGCAATTAAGAAACAGTTGGCTGCAATATGGTATTTACAAATGAACACAATGATGTTACTTCATTTTAAATTCTCTTCCTTTGTTACAGCAATCAAGGCATAATTCTTGGTGTTTGAGGTGAATGCAAAATACTTTAAAGTCATATTTCTTCAAGTCATGTCGAGGCAGACACAACCATTAAATACTTTTATACAGGAGAATCATCTTGGAAATTAGATATCTGAAAAAGTCTGAGTTCAGAAAAAGATATCATTTCTTATCTTTGTCATATTGCTGTTCAGTTAGCTGCAAGGAGTGTTGTAAGCTTTCCAGCCATATACCTGGGTTCAAGTCCTGACGTTGCTTTTTCTAGCTACGTGGCTTTAGACAAGTTACCTAAGGTCTCCCAGTCTTGATTTCCATGCTTACACAGGGGACATTGCATACTTGCTAGAGTCATTGTGAAGACTAAAATGAGATAAAGTATTTAACGTGCTTGGGACAGAGTCGGGTCATTTTGAAAGGGATTATCAGTCATGCTGTTACACATTTTGGGGCTAAAAGTATGTAATTTAACTATAAGTAAAAATCCAAAATGTATTAGAGGCTATATTTTATTCTGCATAAAGAGGAACAAGAGACATGGTTTTTAAAACTAAGAATTCTGAGTTTTATCGTTAAAAGGTGGAAATGCACTTTGATTCTAATATATCAGTCTCCTGGGAACCAGTAGTTGACATTTATTCTCTAGCCCAGATGCTTATGAAAGTACCAAAAAAACAGACATGAGACCTTTTTGAGTAATACATCCATATAAACTTGACCAGATCAATTGGCTTTATTGGGCAACACAGAGAAAAAACTTGCATTGAAATGTTGACAGTGGAACCTTTAGAGACCATGCCCATACGGATGACAGATCTGAGGAGCCTGAGCTTTTGTTACTTTCAAGATCAGTGTCATCCTCATTTCATAACTTTGAGTATAATCCTTAAAATGATTTATTATCAAATGATCACGAGTATTTTGCGCATATGTTTTGCCTTGTTTACTGGCAACCGAGACCAATCTGATCACTATCAACAGCTGATTTGTAAAATAACCTTTCTTTTTCCACAAAAAAACGAAAAGCCAATTATATTATTTCTCACAGTCACTATGAATGTAACCTTTAAAAGAAGGTGAACCAAGTCTAAATTGATTTCATAATTATAATGAAAATATAATAAAAATTTAAATTAATATTAGTAGGTCAGAGTCTTAAGTTACCCAGCCTTTAGTGTTGATGTAAAAGGCAAGACCCTGAAGAGAAAAAATATATTACATTTTAGTTTTCCACTCTGACACTAAAAGGTGATAAATGTTGCCTTATTAACTTATTAAAGGATTTGGAAAGCCTTTAAAAAATGTATAAAAAGAGCTGGACATTTTATAATCTATAAAAGGGATATTTTACTCATCTAATAAAGAAAAATAAAAATGTCTGTAGAAGCAACCAGTTTTAAAAACAGTGACCAATATTTTATATATTTTTACTAACCATTAAAAAAAACCACTCTGCTGGCATTTATCATGACAACATATAATGGAATTTGATAGTAGATGGCATCCTTTGTCGCATTTAAAGTTAATAAAATTTCTTTCCATTATTACTTTCACACACTAATCAAATAAAAAAAAACTTGGTAAGAAGGAGTAAAATGGTAGGCAGTATATAAATATTGTGAGCCTTGATTTTCAGCAATGAATTAAATTATTTTTATAATTTGAAAACTACCTGTTTAATAATAATTATCTTTATAAATTAAATTGTTCTCCCATAGGCTATTAATACACCCTAACAAAAAGTTTTAATCAAATTCTGTTCATGTGGTTGACATACATACATTATTCACTGAACGATCCCATTTTAAAAACATAACTTTGAGCTGTTTAGGACTCCAGTTACATATACTTATTTCATGGTAATGCATATAGAATTAAGCATGTATATTAGAATAGTGTTTATATTTTGCTGTTCTGAGTGCAGTGAGTAAAAAAAAAACAGTGTATTTGATATTAAACATAGCATAAACTACATAATGGTAAAATATAAAAAATAACAGGAAATTGAAAAGGATACAATGTATATGGCCATCCTATGTAGGTTATGTTGATGAAGTCACTCTAGTCATACCCAAAGTGCTAGTGCTGCAAAGGGGGCCGGTAAAAGAATATTTCAACATTTCTCTGGCACTATCGCCTAGAGGAATGACTATTTTCGCTTCGCCATTTATGAAATGAAGCAGGGAGCGGTAAGAACAAGCTACGCAGGACACTATCCCGTTGGAAAACAGGATATTGGGTATTCAGTGGGAAAAGCAGGCTGCAGTAAACGGACAGCAAGAGCTTAGCAGGTAAGAGCACACACAGTAGGGACTATAAATCCATTGCAGTAAAAAAGAGGAATCAGCGCACATCTTCACTGCCAGGAAAAGGTTTTCAAGGTCGTGAATCAGTGCTCCTGGACCCTTAAGTTGGACCAATCTAGCAGCAACGAAAGTCAGCAGGAAGACCTGAAGTGTTGGTTTGTAAAATTTTTAAAAGTCAAAGCAATGGTCATACAGGAATCAACAGAGTCAAATCACCCAAGAAAACTGGAATGGCTCTATTACTGTGGGTTAATAAGGCCAGTGTAGTGGAGAACGCATGACACTTTAGGACCGGGTAAGCCAGCTGGCGTCACTGAGAGTTACTTACAGACTGGATAGAATGTTCTGGCGTAGCAGCATTCTGAGAAAGGATGTCTAATATTTTTAGTCAGAACCTGTCTAAAGAGATCCTTGGACTTCTGTCTTCACTTTCTGTTTGACCTTTGTCACATTTGAGACTGTTGACAACTGCGTTTTCTAACAGTTTTCTCCTCTGCTTCCTATGATATTGTGTCTCTGCTTTTCTATTTATTATCTACCTCTAATTCCTGCTCCTCTGCCTAAACCCTACCTAATGCATTCCACGTGCCTGAGTTCTTGGCCCTCTGCTCTACTGTTCCCATACTTTTTCCATCAGGTGGAAAAATCCTGTCATCTTCTAATGCTGCCACTAAAACCTTTATCTCCAGCTTTGGCTCTTAAGCTAAGCACCCATTCAATAGTTCGCTTTAATAAGCATTTGTTGAGTGCTAATTACGGTGTTCCAGACACTCTGCGAGAGATAGCAAAATCTCCTTACAAGATATCACCACATGGAGGTGTCCTAACATCATCGCAAACTCCAAGAGCTCAAAGTGTCTTTCTCTAAGCTTCACTAAGTGTACCATTCAGAATGTTTCTTATAAACATCCATTGCTTCCGTTATCATTATAACCATTAATCCACTTCGTTGAGATAAAAATGCAGCTATCTTAGTAGCTTACACAACAAAAAGTTTATTTCTCACGCACAGTGCTTGTGGGCTAAGGTTCCCTGCAGCTGAGCTCCACGTGCCTCTCAGCCCCAAAGCGGAAAGAGCAGCTCAAGAAAGGAAGACAGGGAAAGCCTCTTCAAGCCTCACCTTAGCTGACGCATATGTCCCGTTTGCTCACAACGCATGGCCAAGCCCAAAAGGAATGGGCTGGAGATAAACCATTCTTTGATGAGGATGGGGGCAGTGAATGATTTTGGCGCGTATTGATTGCTACTAATCACCAGCCGTGTTGACCATAGCAAGTCTTCCAAATTACATCATTCATTTATCAAGGTAGCAAAAAATTCTGCAGGCTGTCTATGAGACATTTACCATGATACACATGAGATATAATAAATAATACAGTCACTGCCATTCAGGAGCTCCCAGTCAAATGACGGGTGTACATAAACAAATGTATCACAGTGCTACAAATGCATTTGAAAGACTGGCCTTATATCTGCAATCTCCCAGAATTCTATTCTCAACCTCAGGTGATTGGGGAAGGTTCCTCTTCAGTCAAATATTGAATGATAAGTAGGGATTCAGACCAATGGGAGGCAGGCTGGAGTGAAGAAGGGCATTCCAGGCAAACAGCATTTGCAGAAACCCCGCATGTCTTTCTTATTGTGGAAGTGGCAAATGGCTTAAGGTATCCAAAGTATATTGGTACAGGTGTAACAAGGGAGGTTACATAGGACGCAACCGTGAGACTATGAAAACCCTGACATGTCATGTTGAAGAGTGTGAGCTTTATGGTATGTGCCAGGGCCAGGAGGGCTGTAGGCATGGGAGTGAAATGATGACGCTTAGATTGGGATCCAGTGACTTTTAGGAGGGAAAACGGTGGTAGGGAGTCTTGGGTGACTAACTCTCTGGCTTGGGTTTCTGGGTTAAATGGCTGAAGCCTTTACCTGCATAAAGGAATATATTAATATAAGGAGGAGCAGCTCTGGGGTACCTGAGGGACACCTAGAGCACATTTTTAGTAAGTATTTAGCATATGGATCAGGAGCTGAGAACCTTGGGCACACCGTTTAATCTCCCCAAGCCTCCATATCTCCATCTATAAAATGAAGATAACACCTGTACTTTCTACTGACAAGCTGTTGCTGGAATATATAAAACAATGAATGTAAAAAAATGTTTTTAAGCAAGAAATTTCTTTGAAAATGTTGGAAATTAGTTTATAAAAGCCACATTCAACTCTCTGCCAACCTTTAGCTGCTCCCCAAACTCGCTGAGCCAACTGACATCATGTGGTCCCTAAGGTGAGGTGCTGAAATGCATTTCTGGTAAAAATGCACAACCTCAATGTAATAATGGAGAAACACCACCACGCCAAGACTGAGTAATAATCTGAAAAATAACTAGTCTATACTCTTCAAAAATGTCAAGGTCATGAAAAGGAAAGACATGCTAAGTGTCTTACAGGTGACAAAAGGGACACAACAATGTTAAGTCCTGGTTTGTACCCTGGAAAAGATGCCTTCACTGTCAATGTCATTATTGGGACAATCAGGGAAATATGAATAGAGTCGACAGATAGGTAATAGTATTGTACAGATGTCAATTTTCTGATTCTGATCATTTTAATATGCTTATGCTAAAAAATACCCTCTGATAAATTTAGAGGTAAGGGGGCATCACTTGTGCAACTTTGACTCAAGTGATTCAAAATAATGATATATACATAGAGAGCAAAAAAGAAAAGATGTGTGTAGGGAGAGAAGAGAAAATACGATAAAGCAAATTTCTTCACTTGAGTGAAGAAATCTGAGTGAAGAATATATGAGAGCTCTTTGTACTATTGTTTTGCAAATTTTCTGTAATCATTTAAAAAATTTAAAAATTAGTTTTAAGTGGCATGAAATGTTCATTCCAACTGATTAGTGCCTGTGCTATGCTTGTGGTATGTGACATTTCTTAAGGCAAGTCTTCAAAATAATCCAACAGTCAAGAACAGAGGATGGTAAGTAGCTCAGAGAAAAACGGCTTATTTTTTTTATTTTTAGACTTAACTTGGGGCACTTCAATTCTACTGAGGTTTATTGACTGTGCAATGGGCCAGAGACGAGTCCAAATATTGCTGACCCAAAAATGAACAAGCTACAGTGTCTACACTGAGAGAGTTCACCATCTAGAAAGTAGAGAAAATCATCAAGAAAAAAGTACATATAAATGCATACACTATGAAAGATACTTTAACAAAATAAAATATATGGTACAGTTTGGGTATAAAGAAATGAGTCATCAATTCTTCATGGAAAAAAATCAGAAAAGGTTTCACAGAAGAGGTCTCATGCTAAAAAATCCAATTTTGTTCTTATAGAAATACCATAAATAACTTCAAAACTACCTATAAATATGACTGAAGTGAATAAGTTACAGCATACTATATAATTTTAATGCTAATATATATAATGTATATATTTATAATATTTACCTTCACAATTAGTCGGTATTGTTTTCTTCCTAAGTAACCTCTCCACCATTTTTGAATAACTATTACCACTCTGTGTAAATACCTGGGTGAAAAAATATGCTTATTAGTACACTTTCATTGAAACAAAGACTTTTTTTTGCTTAGAATATACCTTCCTACAATTCAAGAAATCAAATTCAAAGCCAAGTATATGTGTATTGTAAAGAGTAGAGGGTTATCATTGTGGGATAGAATTCCTCATTTCTAGAAGTAGAAAAAAGGCATAGATAACAGCTACTCAGTATTTCTTTTGGGCTTCTCATTAAACAATTTTTCAAAGTTTCAATTACTCTTCAACATCGTCTAAAATATTTTTCAGTGTTAAGACCATAAAACTGGTCACAGTGACGTGTTGAGAAATAAGCCAGGCACTATTGATGTGAATCACTGTAAGAACTTAGAAATAATTCTTGAGGTCAAGAAACAAGTCCCCTTTTCATCCTTCCCTTGTATTACTTAGTCTATCCAAGCTAATGTCATGTTAGTCTGCTGAAGTCAAAAATACTCTCTTTGCGGCCATGTTCCTTGCTTGTATTGTGGTCAAAGGAGAAGCCTCACCTTCACACTTTAATTTGCATGTCTGGCTCCTACAGGCTAATATAGGGACATAGGCAGTACAACCCCCAGCCCACATACTGAGTTATTACAGATGAGGCCTATTCATCCTCTATCTTATTCCCGAAAATATTTTTTCGGAGTTGAAGGTAGACTGAAGAAAAGTTTGAGCGATGAAGAAGTGGGAATGGTTAAGGGTCAACAGGAATGGCATCATTTTGGTATCATCTCCCTTTACCTACCAATGTGTTGAAAGGATTGGAATAGTTTCTGTGTCTGTGTGTGTGTATGTGTGTGTGTCTGTCTTCTTTCTTAACAGTCATTGACTTCATTGCTATAAATACAAATCCAGACATTTGTCACACCCCATGGAATTTGAAGAAAATAATTTTATCGAGTATGTTTATGATACTGAGAATTTTTAAAAGTAGATATATCGCCAGTGTAATTTAGTTTTTGATATACAAGATGACCAAAAGAGTTATATTTTTGAACAAGGATATCACATAACTTATTAACTGCATTACAAGTAACATAAAAGATTATTTGAAATGAGTGCTATATGCACACATTACATTTTCTAAGGAGTATATTTTTATGATATATCTGAATTTTCCATGCCAAAATCAATATACCTGATATATGCTCGAATTTGACATCCTCGAAACCAGCTCTGGATTTTAACTGCTGCATCATGCTCCTTTTTCCTAAACACATCCACAACGCTTAAAAAAGAAAAAACAATTAAAGCATTTTATTAGCCATTAATATAATTCTAAAGCAAATCAACCTGTTAAACTTAATCTTTAATTTCTTCCAAAATAATTATAATTCAAATGTCATTTTAAATGAAATTAAAATACTAAATAAAGCATTTTACAAATCATGAGCTATGTTTTAAAATTAACCTTTCTCTGAGGGGATATGTGCTTTCAACAGCTTTACTTTTTAAAATTTTTATAATCACCTATTTTGCAACTAATTAATTTCCAAGTGATTTTTACATGGAAATAAAAAAGCAACGTGCTATTTTGCATTATTTTAAAAACACAGTATTTGAATTTACTATTTAAACGCCACTACACATCTCGTACAAGATTAAAATGCTTGCATATTTCACTCAATGCATCAATTAAATGAATTGCCTCAACAGTAAAATGAGTCCATCACAGAATGCCAATTCTAGACAGAATTCTCAGAACGTCCATTTCAGTTAAAGTGAGGCATGGGGCAAAGCCATAGGATTTATAAAGAGATAAAAAATTCAGTCATTAGATTTACTTATAGCAAAAAAAAGGTTTAATCAAGACAGATCTCCATCTAAATTTTACCATCATTACCTCCCCATCCCCATTTGATAAAGTGATATTGTTTAGGGCAACTGCTGTGGATACAGGGTCATTTCATTCCTAGAATGCGCATTGGCTCTAATTAGCACTTTATGTTTGCTGAATGAATAAAGAATGGCTCGTCATTTAGCCCTTACCTTTTTAAAAAAAAGTCCCTCAGAATTGCGTTTTATTGGAGAGGTTATTTTTTTGTTGTTGTCATTATAGTTTAGATTAAATAGATGGATTTCATTAGATTTATTTTAATTAGAACAAAAACAGAATGGAAAATAAAAACACTTCAAAGAACACAATTCTTAGACAAGACCATAAAGTTGGCTGAGAGAAAGATAACAGCGTTAGCAATTAGGCTGTCAGTGACAAGCAGTTGGAGAAATGAGTGGATGGATTATAGTTCTAGATAAGCAGGAAAGAGTGACCTAGAAAGCCTGACGGAAAAGGACTCAAAAAGCAAAGGGAGGAACAAAAAGGATGCATCAAAGTCAGTGAGCCAGCTGTGAAAAAGAGCAGTGGAGAGAATCCACAGCAATCCGTAAAGGCGCATCAGGCATTGTACCGGCATCGAACAAGCTGTAAAAACTACACAAAGAATGGCGTTGCATTACCTGATAACGGAAGGCACTGTGATGGATTACCATACCACACAATAAAATTTGCTGGGGAAAACTAAGTGATCACTCTAGACAATTAGAAGAAAAAGCTTCATTACTGTTGCATGCTTGCCCTGCATGTCCCAAACGATAGCAGAGACAGGTAATCTGATACGATGGCTCGGGCTATGTCTTCCATGCAGGGGTGAGGCTAGCTTCGAGCCCTTCCCTCCCTGGGCCCTTCCCCGACTGCCCAGGCTGCACTAGGCCGCTCTGTTCCACACCCTCAAAGGTCGCCATCCCACTGAACAGGATCGCGTCTCCTGGGTCTTTAATGACGGTCTCTCCACTATACTTGAAAATCCGCAAGGCAGGCAGCAGTCCTGTCTGCTTCGTCCCGCACAGCATTCCCAGGGGTTCCAGAGAGAAAATTAGTGTTATGCCTAACACTCGACCTTTGTCTTCCCAGGGCTGCTCCCCTGGGGGAACCGCGTGCCGACTGGCACACTGACTCCCCGAGAGGACGCCACCCCTCAGCTTCCCTCACCAGGCTGACTCACAACATAGAGAGACCCCTCCCCATTTCAGGATGACAAAGGCGCTGAGGAGCCAGCAGGTGCCCCCCACTCTCAGGAACTTGAATCCTGGGGTGGCTACAGGTAAAAGACAGGAAGGGACCCGAAAGAATCTGTGAATAGAAATAGAGAAAGGCTAGTACTATCTTAAACAAATGAACACTTCATTCGCCAGGCGTTGTTCCCAGCATTTTGCATACCAGTGAATTAACTCATCTATAATCCCTTCAACAACTCTACCCAGTAAACCATTATTACCCCCTTTTTTGACTTGGAGGAAGATACTGAGGCAGAGCGAGGCAGAGCAACATGCCCACGGTCACATATCAGGAAGCATCAGAGCTGAGATCTGATCCCAGGTAATCTGGCTCTAGGGACTGGCGTCTTAATCAGCACCACCTCTAAAGGAGAAGGATGAAAACACGGGAAAGGAGGGCAAGTAAAAGGGGAAGAAAGTGGGAAAAAGGGCAAAAGAAAGAATGGAAAGAGTTCCACATAGGCCATTTTCAAATATAATATTGAAAGTCTGCCGTGTTAAAATAACACCAATCGCCTTAAAATAATAAAACAACCTAAAGAGGCTAAGATGTGAAAAGACACGGACATCTATAGCACGGAACAAAAATTCCCGACTATGACAAGTACCGGAGAGAATGCACTGCAATGGGGACTTACGTGCATTGCTGGTAGGAATCAGTCTGGCCTTTGAACACATACACAAAATTTTCATTTATATAAATGGAAAATTCACCAACTTTAGAAATGTCAATTAGGGATGCAGACCTGTGTGAAAATTATACTGGGAATGATAAAGCACAAATTTCAGGACAGATACCAGTAAATTTCTAAAACCTGTCATGTATTCATACACTAGTAACCCCATAAAGGGGAAAACTGAAGATTTTGTGCTAAGTCAATTTATTTAAGGAAGGAAAAAAAGAAAACAAAACCTTTGAAAAAAGTAAACAACCAATTGCAAAGCAGAGCAAAACACAGGCAATTTACAGAAAATGTAAACAATTTTTAATTTCAAATGTTGCATGAAAAAATGCTGAACTTCCTAAGCAAGAATCAGCAATTCTATCCCAAGAAATTAAATTTTTTATGATGCATCATTGTTTATACTATTAAATAGGAACAACCTAAACAAGCAGATACACTTTAGTACATCCATAAAATGAAATACTAATTTGTCCTTACAAAAAATTAAGTGGATCAATATGTCTTGACACAGACACACAACATGATGTAATGTGAAAAAAGATATCGGGTTGTCAGAAAAGTCATGACATATTTTTTTCTGTTTTTCGTTGCAGAAATGCATCATGACTTTTCCAACAACCCAATAGATATTACAGTGCAGTATTATATGTTTCCATATTTATAAAAAACAAATTTGTAAAAACAAATTTACAAATTTATAAATTTATAAATTTATAAAAAACAAATTTATAAAAATTTATATTTATAAAAAACAAATTTAAAAAAACAAAATTAAAAATTTAACAAATTTTATATGTTTATATATAATAAATTAACACATATATATGTGTGAATGCATACACAGCAAAAGCCTTATTTTATACAAATTAAGTTATTAAAATGGTTGTCTTTAGGGAATAAAATTTAAAAGAACTCTACCCATAACTAGGGACAATTATTTGCATTGACAGGAGTTAATGGAAAGACATCTAAATGAAGACCAGGATTAAACAGTGTCAAATGCTGTGAAGAAGTCAGGAAGTCAAGGGATTGCAGGGTTAGAGGGAATCTTTAATTTTTCTTTTTAAAATCTTATCCTAGTCAATAGTAAGATGTGATAGTGCAGGATACAAAATGTCATTCATGGCAAAACTCGGAAAGATACAGCAGCACAGCTTCAAGTTGAGCAGACAATTCAAAGATGATGGAGTATGAAGAAGGAAATAATTTCATTCAATAAGGCTGATGAGAAGTGAAATTCATGATAATGGGATATAATGGTTTCTTAAGGTTATTTAACCCTGTTTGCCATTAACGATTAATATGGGGTAGATTTATTTTCCTCCTTTTTAATATACTCCATTTAAATTACTGAGAACACTTGTCTTTCTTCCCACCAATAATCAACAACCACCTACCTTTGCAAAAGAGGAAAACATATAAGAGGAAGAAAAAAATAAAAATACATAGGTACAGATATACCTAGTACTTGTTTTGAACTAATGTATAGTTTGAATTTATCTTTTACTTATAGTTGTTGTCAGAAATGTAGAAGAGAAGCCATTAAATTATCTCTTTTGAGTTTATGTTTTCTAATCACTTCTGCTAATAATGCTAACATACTCAAGAGAAAAATTATCTCTTTTTGAAGTTACAAATAATAATGTATATAAATACAAGCACACATATTATACGATACTAATAAGAACTACACACAATACTAAAGGGAAACATTAAAAAATAACTAGTAGTTAACTTACTGCTAAGTTTTAACTTAATGTGCTGAAATTTGACTTCTATACACATTTTTCTGTTGCCCTTTTTTAACTGCTTAAAAATGAAATTTACAGATACTTGAGTTACCACTGGGATGCTGAATACTTATACAATATGTCATGAACTGCTAGACATTTTATGTTTAAAATGACAAATGTGGGTAACACTTTATTTTAATGGTATATTAATTAGTTTCAAATTACAATGAAAATCCTATAGCAGTGAATAAAATATGACATCTACACGAATTTGAAATAAATTTATTATGATCAGTATTATCACAATGAATACTAAATGAATTATTAATGATGAAAGACCAAAAGTATTACCAGGAATGTAATAAAACATCCAGAAAAAACTGGAAGCTTCCAGTCACTTCATCATCAACTAGAAATAAGTACTATAACCCTGGACAACACTGTAGTCATGTGTATCATTACTGGCCAGAAATTAACTGACAATAAGTAGAAATTGAAAAAACGTGTTGTTAAATATCTTTCCAGTAATATGCGAAAACTATGCCTTTTACACATCAACATACTGTGTTTACTCTGACCTATGTGTATTAGCTACTGAATAAATGCTTGATTAAAAACCCAATTGACAGGGCCTTGGCATGTTCAGACACACTAGTGGAAGCCTGGAACATGAGACCCGGGTATGTCCAAATATGTGCAGGCCGGGGTACCGGCCTTGACCCCAGAGCCTACTGTGCAGGCACATCAGCTCCGAT